CTGCTTCATCCACTCTCCTAGAATACAAATTCCCACAAGGCAGGAATTAGATCCTAAAATTTTATTTCATCTGAGGCCTCTACGATCAAGGGCTCTGTTAACATCTCCAGCCTTGTCTTCTACCGTTTCTGAGCCAGCGTGAGCTACACCCAGTTCGCGGGTTTGCCCCACTCATGCTCACAAGCTTTCCACCGCTGTGCTCTCTAGTTCCCTCCTACCTGGTAAAGTCAGACCCATTGCTTCTTAGGGGAACCATCCCTGATCCCTTTCTCTACTGTCTCCTGGAGGCCTTCATTTACTAGACTTAATTTGTGTATCTTTCCTAGTGAACTGTGGGCTCCTTGAAAGCAGGACTTGAGTCTAATTAACATCCTCCTCCACCCCCCAGCATCTAGGACATCCCAAGTACAAAGGTGCTAAATTAAAACGATGAAGGAACCAACATAGGCAAGGTGCATCTCCTTCCAACTCCCAAAGTGCTTTGGTAAAGTACACCTCCCTGTGCTTCACCTGATGGCCTCTGAGAAGACTCAAAAAGCTGCTTCATATTTTCGGTGGCACAGAGAACAGACCCAGTAAGAAAACCTTGTGAAATTACATCTTAAAGACAGCTCTGTGTCTCATCACACAGTCCATAAAGGCATGCAAGTTGTCTGCAGTGCGAACAGCTACTCTCAGCCTTAACTAAGCAAATTCTGACATCTCAGAAAAATAGAAGAAATTTGGGCATCATCAAAAGAAAAAAAATAGCTTTAAAAAGTAACTGCCTCCCGTTCCTGAAATTTTGTCTTATTAATCTTTTGTAAAAGCACTGTTTAGAAAGCATTCACTTTGACAAAATAAATTAAGCTTCACTGTATTACATATTTATCTCATTTTATCATAAAACCATTCAGCATTATCTCTAAAGAGCTGTATTTTGATAAATGTGTAGAATACAGTTCCCACCACAAAACAGCCTTGTATATGCCAGTAGAAGATTCAAAGGGAAGAATTCTTAACAGCTAAATAGTTGTTTGTTTTAGGACCAAGTAACCATATCCTGTCAAATAATTCCCCATCCCTTCTCCCAAATCCCAAATGAATATTAAAGATACATTTCAATAATTTAGGGAGATTTCTTAGTTAATTATAATTAAAAAGCTTGGGGGGGGGAACAGCTAGTTTTTCTCCCTATTTAACTAAATAAAAGCTATGATTTTATGGAAAAGCAATGAAAACACCAGATAAGTATCTGTGGTGTGGATTAACAAAAATGCCTAAGAATACTCCAATTTCTATGCCAACATTAATTACTGCCCCACTCCAACATCTTCTTGTCTTTGTTTTAATTTAAATGTAAATTCAAGCAAATTTTATATTTTAGATCTTCTCTATTCTTATTGACAAATAAGATAAGAGGAACATATCAGCAGAGACTGGGTCTTCCCACATGCCAATTAGCAGCATGATACTGCATACTTATTATGGGATAAAGATTAAGCAGGTAAAGTTAAAAAGCCCTAATGGAAACATATTCAGATAAGGCACAGAAGATCATCGGGATATGAAAACAGACATAAATCCTAACTAGAGCCTCAACTACAACCTTCTATACCTTCTTCAGTGACTTTGATGCAATAAACATTTATGGAACACCGACTGTTTGCCAGGCAATGCTAGGTGCAGAGGGCACAAATATGAAGACACAATCACAATCCCATCTTTCAGAGGTTTCGTATTGTCTGGACACAAATGTGGCACTAAACTTATTTACATAAAGCTTATCCTGCACTGTCCAACAGAGAAGGTTCTAGTCACAAGTTTCCATTTAAATTTAAATTCACAGTAGTCACATGTCAAATGCTCAACAGCTACATGTGGCTTGTGACTCCAATCATACCGGACCCATACACATCATCACATACAGATATAGAGATACATAGAAAGAACATTTGCATCGTCACAGAAAGTTCTACTGCACAGACTCTGCTCAGACACCAAATAATTGGTCTCCATCACTTACTAATCCTATGGCAATAGGCAAATCATTTAGTTAGACTGCGAGTCTGTTTGCTTTGCTGTAGACACGACCAAAATGTCCTTCAGTAGAGGAATGGCTAAATAAATTATGACCTATCCATACAATGGTGTGCTATGGAGCAATTAAAAAAAAAACCTAATATTAATAGGAATAAAGCAGGTTGGATTAAGAAATATCCAATGTGATATCATTTGTGTACAATACACATTCATATTGAAATCTACCACATTTTCTACAGACCTATCTTAAATATACAAATATACAGAAAAATATATTGACCAAAAAGATAAATGTAGTTACCCCTAGGGTGGTGGCCAAAGGTGATTTTGTCTATATACAAACAAGCTACTTTAGCGTAAGGTATTAATATTTCCTTTACTAAGAGCAAGATGCTAATAGTAATCTCTACCCTATCTGTACTTGCCAAGTACCAAAAAAAGTGCTCTGAGTGTCGTAAAACATTATTTAGATATATGACTTTTTATATCCAAAGATTTTAGGCAAGACAAAGTATAAATATAGTTTATGTTATGATTCATAAGTTCCTGTAGAAGTTTATAGTATACAGAGGCAAGCAAACGCAGTTGTTATCTTTAAAAAACAATTGGTGATTAGTGAAGGTGAATCAATTCTCCACGGCGCTAAAACTCACTCATGCTCCAGCCAACTGGGGGGACGTGTAAATAAGAGACCCAGTTCCTATCCTCAAGTAACTCGCAGACTAACTAGAAGGCACACATTCCACAAGTTTTTACAACAAAATGAGATACATGTCATGAACTGGAAGTATGGGGAAATACAAGGACATACACGAGATTTGAAAGGAAAGTAGGAATTAAGTAGACAAAATGTACGTTGCAGGGAAGAGGGCGATTCAGGCAAAGGGTATAGACAGGTGAAGCACAGAGATGAAAGGGAATGGAACGGAACCCAGTTTGGATGGAGTAAAGTAGATGAAAGAGAGAAGTGAGACAGAGTCAGATTATGCAGGGCTTCAGAAGCCATGGTAAAGAATTTAGATTTGATTTTAAAGACAGTGGGAAGTCATTGAAGTGTGGTTTTAAGAATGAGAGTGAGGGGCCGGCCCCGTGGCTTAGCGGTTAAGTGCGTGGGCTCCGCTACTGGCGGCCTGAGTTCTGATCCTGGGCGCGCACCAACGCACCGCTTGTCTGGCCATGCAGAGGCGTTGTCCCACATACAGCAACTACAGGGATGTGCAACTATGACGTACAACTATCTAGTGGGGCTTTGGGGAGAAAAGAGGGGCAAAAAAAGGAGGAGGATTGGCAATAGATGTCAGCTCAGGGCCGGTCTTCCTCAACAAAAAGAGGAGGATTGGCATGGATGTTAGCTCAGGGCTGATCTTCTTCACAAAAAAAAAAAAAGAATGATCAGTTCTGGTTTTCTAGGAGGATCATTCTGGCTACAGGGTGGAAAATGGAAGACTAGGAGGAGTAACCTCAGCAAGATGTAATGTTGGCCCCTAGACTGTGGAAGTCACCGTGGGGTAGAGAAAAGTGGACTGATTTGAGAGAGAGCAAGGAGACGGAATGGGTATGATTTGGATTTCGTTGATGAAGAAAATAAATATATTAAACTGTCCCAGCTGGGGGGATAGGAACTTAGCAAATTTCTTTTAAATGCTTTTTTTTTAACGTTAAAGATCTTCATCTTCTTTTATAGGTCCACAATCTTTTATCTATAACCCCCAAATCCCCAAAGCTCTGAAAATGGAAAGGATTTCTGTAAGATGGCAGCAAAACCTGACCTGAATTAACACGAGGTTCTTCACCTTGCTTTATCCCATCCTGTATGAATATTCATTTATTTCACTGTAGAAATATTAATATCTGTGGTTATGGATACCACTGGAGAAGACATTAGGTTTGTTAGGTAATAGATGGTATATGTAGTACGTTACCTTTATAAAATATGACAAAATTCGAATTTGGTAACACATCTGGCCCCCAGGGTTTCTGATAAGGAACTATAAATGGGGAATTTTCCCCTTGCACTTCCCGGCTTTAAAGGTGGCTGAGATCAGGCTGCTACACCACCACTGGTAATCATACAGCCCATAAATTTGTGTCCGTGTTTGGTAGGGGAGGTGCGATGCGGGCAAGTCAGCTATTATTTTTTATTTTGCAATAAGATCTGGGGTTAAGAATGTGTGTGTGTATTTTAACTGTTGATCTTTAGACATACATCAGATAAAACTGGAAGTGTTCATTTTCAGGGAGGTTTCACACCACTGTAGAGAAATTGCTACAAGGCTTAACCTCCTGTATCTGTTCCCCTGGGGACTAATACTTGTTTCTAACAAGGCATCTGCTGGAAGGAGCCAGGGGCATCAAAAGGAATCAATCTCAGGCCTCCACCTACAGTCATCAACATTCAACATTCAACATTCATTCTTTTTTTTTTTTAACTATTGGCACAGTAGTCTGCTGGAAGATTTGGAAACAACAAATGAATGATCCATGATCCCAAACCATTCACAGAGATGTTGCTCCAAAGAAGATGTTTTATAAATGTTTGTTAAAATAATAAACCAGAAATTAAGAGAATTTTAATCTACAACATTAAAGATGAGATGAGAGAACCAGGCTGCTATTTTTTTTTTTTTTTTTTTTTTTTTTGAGTACAGAATTTGAGAACGGGAATAAGAGCGTGTCTAGGGAAGAAACTGCTTTGATGGGTAAGATCTGCAGAGACAGCTGGGCCAGAAGAAATCAAAGCACATCTTCCTGATTTTTTGGGAATGGAACTCCCCATTGGTACCTCTTGAAAGACATCACTAATAACTTACCTTACTGATCAAGAAATTTGTGGAGTTATATTTATGTTCACTTTTGGAATGACACTGACCTAGAAGGAAACTACTTTTCTTTGCATTGCAAAGATAGTAAAGTAGGGGGGTTCTTGGTAGTTCTAGGTCCTTGTGCAATATTGGAGCAACTGACCAGAAAGGTCTTACCTTCAACACAAGAAGGCTGAGCCCGAGTTGTGCCAGCAACCTGTCCCGGGAAGCAAGAACACTTGACCGTTTGTGATCGCTCTTCTATGCGGTTCTTGTTACAGCACCTGTGCACAGCGACCACCTCACAGGTCCCTTGCTTGATCTGGTGGTGACCTGGTAAGTAATGGGGGAGAAAAACAGACACAGTGCTGTTAGGAGAAAATGAAACCACCAAGAACGTGAACCATCAAGACTATGGTTTCCAACTTCCTGTGCTATGCTTATGAATCTTTGTAATTTTTTTATTTTGATGTAGTTTCAAATTTATATAAAGGTGGCAAGAATAGTGAAAAAAACTCCTAGAAACCTACAGTAGAAAGAAATTTGGCCCCTAAGACCTTCAACCCATGGTTATGTTATGTTACGTTACATAGCAAAAGAGATTTTGCAGATGTAATTGAGATTACTAATTGGTTGATTTTAAGAGAGTGAGATTATCCTGGGTTATCCATGTGGGGCTAATGTGATCCATGAACGCTTAGAAACGGAGACACGAAGGGGAAGTCGGAGATTCAAAGCATGAGGAAGACTCAGAGCATCACTGCTGGCTTGAAGACAGAGGGAGCCAAAAGCCAAGGAAATGGAGACCTTAGTCCTAGAACCACAAGGAACTGAATTCTGCCACTAACTTGAACACACTTGGAAGTGGACTCTTCCCCAGAGTCTTCATAAAGGAATGCAATCCTGCTGATAGCTTGATTTTAACCCAGTGGTGAAACCCTGAGCGGACCATCCAGCCACACTGTGCCAGACTTCTAACCTACAGAAACAGGCTGCTAAATTTGTGGTAATTTGTCACAGCAGCAAGAGCAACCTAACACAAGACCTTTTACCCAGATTCAGTAATTGTTAGCTGTGACCCCATTTGCTTTATCATTCACTCTCTTTCACATATTTTTCTGAACCATTTGAGAGTAAGTTGCAGACATGTTACCCCTTTACCCCTAAATACTTCGGTGTTTATTTCCTAAAACAAAGATTCTCTTACGAATCAGAAAATTTGACATTGATACAATACTATTACATAATCTACAACCTATAGTCAATTTTGCCAATTGTCCCAATAATGTCCTTTAGCCATTTCTCCCCCTGCTCAGGATCCAACCCATGGGCTACATTACATTTAGTTGTCCCATTTCTTTAGCCTTCTTTAAACAGAAACTATTCTTCAGTTTTTATCTTTCTTAACCTTGACATTTTTAAGGAATCCATGCCAGTTATTTTCTAGTACATCCCTCCAATTGCTTTTGTCTGATGTTTCCCCTTGATTAGATTAAGGTAACACCTTCTTAGCAGAATACACCAGAGTGACACTATGTTCTTCTCAGTACATGATCACATGATGTCCATTTGTCCCATTATTGGTCCTATTACCTTTAATCACATGGTTAAGGTGGTCCTTGCCAGGTTTTGCCATTTGTAAAGGTACTATTTTTCCCTTTGTAATTAATAAGCATTTTACGGGGAGATATAGTGAGAGTATATAAATATCCCATCCTTCATCAAACTTTTACCCACTATTTTTATCATGCATTAATGATTTCCACCTGAATCAATTATTATGATGGTTGCAAAACTGATTCTATATTAGTATTCATATTCTCTCAGATCTAGACAGGAGGAGACCCTTCAAACTGAGAGCAGTGTCATTTTGACCTATCCCCATTATTCTTTGAGATCTTCTTAACTTTCTAGCTCAAAAGATGTACTAGAATCACCTCATATTTTCTCTGCCCTCACCATTTTTCTGCAAGGAACCCTGATTATTTTCAGTTGGGCAACAGATATAGAAACCAAGGTCTTGGCACACAGGCTTACTCATTGCTACTAGGGAGTGATTTTGGGTGAAAGGGTAGATAGATGTAGGAAGTGTGTGTGTGTGTTCAACATAACTTCACACTGATACCTCCAATTCCAACTTAGCACCGCAGGTTCTTGCTACTTTCTCCCCAATTCTATATTTGTATCTCCCATCACCAATAATGAGAAACTTGACTTCCATAGTCCTATAACAAACAGACAATAGTTTAAGTTTACTTTACATTGGAATCCATTTTATCAGTTAGGAGTCTTTTGCTATAACAACAAAAACCCATATGAGCTACCTTAATCTAAGGACAACTTATTGGAAGATGATCAGGAGACTGTAGAACCAAGAGAGAATTTAGCTTACTGGTAAGTGGAACCATCCTCATGGCTGGCCCTGAGTGAATAATTTTACTCTATGAGTCTGTCATTCTGCTCAAGGTCACGTCAGTTGTGGCAGCCACCCTCTAAGATGGTCCTCAATCGTCCCTGCCTCCTAGTATCCACACCTTTGTGCAATCCCTTCTCACATGGCACCAGGGTTGGCCTTTATGACCAATCGCATGCAGCCGAAGTGATGGTATGTCACGTCCAAGATTAGGGAGCCACTCTCTCTGTGCCTCTCAGATCACTCACTCTGGGGAAGCCATGGAATGGATGGCCCTATAGAGAGCCCCATGCGGCAAGAAATTGAAGTTTCCTGCCAACAGCCCTATAAGTGAGCTGATAAGCAGACACTCTCCCACACTGGACCAGGGTTGGACTGTGTCCCAATAGCATACAGCAGCAGAAGTGATGGTTTGTCACTCCCACAGTTAGGTTATAAAAGACAGTGGTGTACTTGCTTGCTTGCTCATCACTCATTCTGGGGGAAGCTGTGTTGGGTCCAGCTCTATGGAGGGGCCTGTGTGGCCAAGAACTGAAGTCTACTGCCATTAGACACATGAGTGAGCTTGGAAGTAGATCCTACAGCCCTAGTCAAGTCTTCAAAGACTGTAACCCCAGCCAACAGCTTAACTGCAATCCGACAACCCTGAGGCAGGACCACCCAGCTAAGCCACTCCCAGATTCCTGATGCTCAGAGACTGTGTGAAATAATACATGTTGATTGTTTTAAGCTTCTAAGATTTGGGCTAATTTGTTACACAGCAATAGATAACTAATACACCGACTCTGGCTATACCAGGATGGAGAGACTTATCTTTGCTCTGATAGAAACAATGTAAACAAGATTGCAGAGGCAATGTTTAGAAATGATTAATGAGAGACAACCTTTTCAAGCACCCTTGAGCACCCTCATGATTTTCAGATACACCATTTACATATAAATTGTTCTGTGAATTACAAGCAATCTCATCTACTCATTAAAACAGGTTTTCCGAAGGATTCTCATGGGTTAGTGCTTTGCTTGGTTTCTGTTGTTTGGTGCATGTGTTTCAAATAACAAAACTAATTTAAAAACATTCCATAATTCAGCCTTTTAATCCATAAAGACAGGCCTTCCACAAAATAACTCTATATTATTCTGAATTTTTCCTGGCCCTCTCCTCTCATACTATCTTAAATGTTGGTGGAAGCAAAATTCAATTACTGGCAAGAACAAATACTAAGGCAAAGTTTCATTTGTAAAACACATAAAAGCAGAACCAGTACCCTGAGAATCAAACCACTAGCATGAGAGAAAGTTTTCAATCTACTACAGAAGCATAAATATGAAAGAAGTGATTAAAACTATAAATCTAATTAAATTGATTTCCCATAGGTAGTTGTATACAATTGTAAAAAAAAAAAGTAACTAAAAATAGTAATTACAATGTCAGTAAAGTAGCCTGGGAATTTAGCACTGAGTAAGCAGAAAAGTGAGGCCTGGGAAGAGTTCATGGGGAGATCCTTTCTCTGGTTTCCAAATGCAAATAAGCACCTTCAGGTCAAACATTCCTTAACAACTAATGACTAGCCATGTGGGAGAAACAGGGTGAATTCATCCTCAGTCCTCTCTCAAGGACTGCCCTCTGTGTTGGCCATTGTCTCAGTTTGCTTGGCTTCCATAACAAAGTACCACAGAGTGGGTGGCTTAAACAACAGACATTTATTTCTCACAGTTCTGCAGGCTAGAAGTCCAAGATCAAGGTGCTGGCCAATTCAGTTCCTGGTGAGCGCTCTCTTCCTGACATGTGACAACAGCCTTCTCACTGTGCCCTCACATGGCAGAGAGAGAGCACTCTGATGTCTCTTCTTTTTATTCATAATGACACCCACCAGCCAGCCCTATCAGATTAAGGCCCCATCCTTATGACCTCATTTAACCTTTATTACCTCCTCACAGACCCTGTCTCCAAATACAGTCACATTTGGGGGTTAGGGCTTCAACATACGAATTTAGGGGGTGGGGAAGAGACACAAACATTCTATAACAGCCATCATGCCATAATTAGATTTTAAATGACCCTAGAGAGTCTACAATGAAGGCAGCTCTAAACCTCATTAACAAAATAAAAGAAATATGCTTTAGTAACTTCTTAGAATAGTCAAGAAGTCTTCTGGACATTCATTAATATTATAGTTTGCTTAGAATTTTGTTGCTATTTAGATAACCATACACAAATGCAAATAGATTTTTTTTTTTCTATTCAAACTTGTCTCTGAATAATCAGCTTGCCTGGTCTCGGATTTTATTCATTTATACAGCACCGACTATGGTACTTCATTGATTTTAGGATCCATTTTTTTTCATTTTTTAAGATGTCAGGAGGTGTCACAACCGATAGCATCTTCCCATTATAATTGGCATTGCTTTTCTTTCTTAGAAATACACAAAATAGCAGCATATCTCACAATTGACAGCATCTTAGATTTGATAAAATACGGTAGGTTGCAGGCACTGTTCTAAATTCTTCACAAATATTATCCTATGTAATCTTACAAAAATGCTATGATGTAGATACTATTTTTATTTCTATTTTACATTTAACAAAATGTACAAAAATTAATTTGCCCAAGGTCACACAACTAGAAATCGGAAAGAGGAGAGAGTCAAACCCAGGCAGTGTCTATGCTCTCACAGGATGGTGGGGGTGGGAGGTGGGTAGCAGCCATGGTAGCTGATATTTCACCAAGTAGCACCAAAATGGGAGCTCCGCCTCAGCAAGTCACAAGGCACATCTCAGTTTCCCACTGAAAACATCTTTTCTACCTGATGACTGTTTGTGGGGCTCCAGATAGGCAGTCTCTCTAGAAATCTCTCTACTGTTGACACTGGACTATGATCTTTGAATAAGGATGTGCCTCATTTCTTTGTAATCTACAGT